AATCAAAGTTAAAATTAATTTAAAAATCTTATATTTTATAATTTAAATTGTATTAGGTTATAAAAAAATATCATAAAATAAAATTTGAAAAAAAAAGCCAAATATCAAAGATACCCCTATTCAATTGTTATTGTGGTGCAATGTGAAACATGTTTATTTAATATTAACAAATAGTACTTATCTTTATTAATGTTGAAGAAAGGGAAAAAAACCCAACAGCAGACGTCCAAGTGTCCAACACAATCCAGAGAGGGACTTTCCAAAGTGTTCTCTTTTCTTTGGTGTACGCTTGAAATGGGAGTCCCCACAACTGTCTGTCCCCGCTGCAGGACAAATCTGCGACCGCCAATAATGCTTGGGACCTTGTAACCAGACACAACCACTGAACCACCCTCCCCTCCTGCTCATCCTCACCAACTCTCTCACTCTCCCCTCTCTCCCTCCTCTCAATTTTGAGTCCTTCCTTCTTTCCATTTCCGTTCCCCTATTTCCCATCGATCTTCCCCCTCTCCTCCTCCACCAAAGCATTTAATTTTATTCCATTTTAGAACCAATGCAATGACTATGTTGATACATTTATTACTGCTATACTTTTGAGTTTTGAAACTAGTAGTAGTATCCACAATGGAATGTTGTTGGTAAACCCAGAGAAGGAGAGAGAAGGAGAAAGAAATTAAGGCATTGTGCTTCGTCCACCTACCCTGGCTGTTGTTATGGAGAGACTCCAAGGACCCATTAATCCTTGTAGTGTATGTTACTTGCTTATTTTAGTACTTCCACTTCCTCTTCTCTTCAATCTCTTTTGAAGAGTCAAGATTTCACTACATTTAGTTTACTCCCTTAAAAAAAAATGCTTGCATTCAATGCATTGTGTTGTTTTATTCAAAATACTCATTTCTGCTAGTGCTGTTCCTTGTTCTTTATCATTCTATTTCTTAAACTTTCATTCTCTTTTCCTCTAGTGGATCTGAACCCTGAACAAAAGTTCCCCATCCAACTCCACAAGAAGTATGTTTCTTTTTGACATTTTCTTATGGTTCTTGCAGTTCTTGGGGGAAGATTTGGAGGCAGAGAGTTTTGAGTTGGGGTTTGTTAACAATGGAAGTTTGAGATATGAGGATGCAGAAGAAAGGTGCTTTTTAATGCCGAGTTTGGAAGACAATATGCCATTTCTTCAGATGCTTCAGGGTGCAGATTGCCCTCCTCTTTTTCCCTTGAAAGAACCAAACTTTCAGACGCTTCTGAGGCTGCAACATGTAAGGAAGCCATGGGAGATAAACTCTTCCTTTATTCCGGATATGGAGACCCAAATTCAAGCCCTGGAGCTCGAAAGTTGCGTCACCCATGAAATTCTACACCTGAATTCCCCGGCCAAGTCCGAGACCCGAGATGTTAAGAACCAGTATTCCATTTCGTGCTTTGAAGGTGTCAGCTCCGAGTCTATCCAGGACCAACCCAATTCCGCGATGGATAACTGTTGGAGAGAAGGCAACTCAGGATCTCCGCCTCAGGAAAACGGGCCTCCACCAACCCAGTTAACGGCATATCGTCCCGTTGCCAAGGAGCGGAGAAAGCGGAAGAGGACGAAGCCCACTAAAAACAAGGAGGAAGTCGAGAGCCAACGGATGACCCACATTGCCGTCGAACGCAACCGCAGACGGCAAATGAACGACCATCTCAACTCCCTTCGAGCTCTCATGCATCCATCTTACATCCAAAGAGTAAATCAACTTAAACTCATTATTTTAATATCTCAACACTCGCATATCTGAATTACAGTTTCTTAATTTTTGCCCTATTTCATCCACTTGCAGGGTGACCAAGCATCTATAATTGGGGGTGCAATTGACTTCGTGAAGGAACTAGAGCAACTACTTCAATCTCTCGAAGCACAAAAGAGACTGAGAAGCTCTGAAAAAAGCAGTAACAATTCAACACCAAACTCTGCAATGGCAACAATTTCCTGGCCGCAATGTGGAATTGGTTCTGAGGGTAGTGAGAATTATGAAGAGGAAGTGAAGGGCTCCGAGCACAAGTCCGGTCCAACTAAGGTAGAGGTGAATGTGATACACAACCATGTCAACTTGAAAATTCAGTGCCCAAGAAGACCAGGACAGCTTTTGCAGGCCATTATCACCCTGGAAGGCCTTAGGTTAACAGTTTTGCACCTTAACATTACTTCTTTACAAGCTTCTATTCTTTACTCTTTCAACCTAAAGGTACTAACTTTTAGTGACCCTTTTCTTTCCTTTTTCTTTTGAGATTAACAAAATCAAATTTTTTTGATTTGGGGTTTCCAAATTTCTCAACTTTTTTTCTATTGGGTGTGGGAATCGCAGATGGAGGATGATTGTAAGCTAAGATCGGCTGATGAGGTGGAAGCAGCAATTCATCAAATATTCAGCTAAATCAAAGGAGAGAAATGTATTGGTAGAGTAAGCTGGCTTCTATTCCAGATTCTGGACCAAAGGGAATTGATTAGGGGAAAAAAAAGGAGGGAAGTTTCAGAACCAAAAAAGGAAAAAGAAGAGATGGACGCATAGGGATGGCAGAAAGAGAAATAGCAGAGGCACCTCTCATCAATTGTAAATGTTGTACCACCAAAGGGTGATGAAGGCAAGTCAGTGCAAAGGGCATCATGACGTTTACCGTTTAACTAAAGCTCCCCTTGTTGAGTCATAAATATTAGAATGATTAGTATGTCTAATTTTGTTGTTATGTTGTAAAAATATATATTTCTGGGTTTTAGAGGGGAGGGTTTGAGGTTAGTCTCGTTGGTGGTGATGGGGGTGGGGTCAGTACGCCTGGGCAAGGGTAGCAGAGATAGAGTTTTCTGATTTGTGTTTAAAATGGATTTTCTAATAAATCTGATCTCTTTCGGTCACTTTTTTTTTTTTTTTTGAGAAACACGAGAGAATTTGAGGAAATGGAGATTGATTTTATAAAGACTAAAATTAAAGTGTTAGCCTTGATAAAGATGTACTATATTTAACACAATTATTATTATGGAGATTGATCTCTTCGATTGTTTTTTTTTATAAATAAATTTACGAGTAATTTTAATATTTTATGAAAAAAAAAAAGCAAAAATTATTTTCATGATTCAAATATCAAATTTAAAAAGTATTTTTATTTAAAAAGTAAGTGACAAACTAATTTTTCCGAACATGTAGAACGATCTCTTGCTCACTTTGTTCTTAGGAAATACAGAAATTTGATCATTAATCAGCAAACACAAGATACAATGTTAAATTCTTATGATTACTAGCTCCAATGATGGCCCCCTTTTTATGTTGACTTTGGTCTGTGACCGTGTTGTACAGAACTACGGATGTTGATGTTTCATCATTATACCATGTTACCTAAGGTAGAGTTCGTTTTCATAGTTTCCAACTTCTTAATGGAATTAGTGATCTCTTTTTTCTTGAATTCTTCTTGTCAAGTCATTAAATTATGGAACGTGATTATGACCCCACAACAATACATTAAGGTCACATAAGTCATATATATATAGTAACACGAAAAGTTTAGTTATATAGATTAGTTTCTTGTTGAATTTAGTTAGGAGAAAAGTTCCCATCTTGGTAGTTCGAAGCTTTAAAGCATGTTAAACGTATGGAGACTGTTGGGAAAGACAGGAATGGTAGAAAAAAGATGGGTCATCTGTGTCTCTAGCTTACTGCTTACCAACCTGATCTTTGTGAGTACAAATAGTGACAATTAATGGGAAACTTGCATTGCATTGCATGCCATAACCATTTTCCACATGCTGATGCTGACCATAATCAATCAGTAATCACAAAAAGACATGTATTATGACTAAGACAAGTTTCATTCCTTCATTATTTATATAACTGCAACTTCATGTAAATAATGGAGGGGAGAAAAGCAAAAGCTCATGGGAAAAGTAGAGGGGACAGAATTGGATGAGGTGATGGTACAGAAACAAAAAGTACATAGGCAAAGGAAGGAAGGAAGCCGAAGGTCAAAGAAGAGGGTAGTGATGAATCATGTAGAGCAACCACCACCCACGTTTCGTCACTGAACATTGTCATATGGTTCAGATCGCGCAGCAGAGCACACATCCCCGTGCCAAAGTATCAAAAGTTCAAAACCCAAGTCCCCTGGCTATGTCCTAGTCATTCTGTCCTTGTGTTTCCTTTTTTTTAAAAGCGTTCCTTCTTCTGCTTTCCTAGCCCTTCTGCCCCGTCCCAATCAAACTTCCATCACACTGTTCCTATTTTAATAGGATCATCTCATCTTCTCTTTATTTATGGCTGAAGCCTCAATTTTATAATCATATGATGTTTAGGGTTTTAAAAAATTGGCTTTTGCTTTTGAATAAATAAATTAAAGATAAAAAATTAAAATTAAAATTATCAATATATTTAATAATTATTATATAATAAATTTAATAAAATTAAAATTTATATTATATTTTATATATTTAATCATTATAATGAAAACAAACCTTTCAATTCAAATGAATCATTTCTAAATCTTTAAGCATCAAGATTAAATTGATCGATATTTTAAATTTTATCAACACTTTAAAAATTTTTAACATCATTTCTTAATAATTGAAAACTGTTTAAAAAAAATTATAATGAAATATTTTAATATCTTAAATATTATAACGAACTAATTTTCTCTTTCTTCTAAGGTGCTAAAAAAACACGGTTTGTTTGACATATCATAAATTAAATTAATCAAGATAAACAAACATGGGAAGTAGAGAAATGCCTGGAGAGTGCAGATAGTTTTGAAACTCAAGCATCGGGCGGGCAACTCGAAACAACCTAAGGAGTACTAGTACGTTATTAAAATTTGAAAATGGGTACTTAAAAAATGCATGGATGAGGGGAGGCAGAGGAACATTGGTCTGAAATATTGGAAGAAGAGACAGTTTCCTTGGGAAGAATGAGGCGGCATTTTCAACCTAATCTTGCATTTCCACATTGTTATCATTGCCATTAACCTCGCAATCTGTTTCTCAAAATGATTTTTAATGATAAAAATTTGTGATAAATTTTAAAATTATTATTAAATTTAATATAATTATAACAAATTTAAAAAATTAATTACAAATGCATATATATTTAATAATGAAAAAAATTTTATCATAAAAAAATATATTTTATCATCGAAAAATATTCATAAAGATAAAATAAATTTTTGTCGATAAAAATCGTTACTAACATTACAATGATAACAGAATTCTAATATTGATTACATATATGTTACACATTCAATGATGACTGAATAATTCATTACTAAAAATATATTTTGTCATTAAAAATTATCAATTTTTTCTAATCAATGCATCTCACATCAATAAAAAAACACATAAAAAATAAGTTTTTACATTATAAATATATCTCATATCGATGAGAAATATTTAAGAAAATAAATTCTTGCATTATAAAATATGTGAAATTCAATA